TGTGGTGGCAACGTGAGCTCCAGTGATATTCCGCTGCCACCTACGGAGTCCCAAAATAAACGTCGTGGCACCCAGCCACTGCCACGGGCAGATAGGGTTTCTGTGTGGAGCCCGGGCGTGGTAAGATACTCAGACAGTTACGGAGAGATCCATAGAGTCACACAGAGATCCATAGAGACACACAGAGATCCATAGAGTCACACAGAGACCCATAGAGTTAGAGAGATCCATAGAGTTACAGAGAGATCCATAGACTCACACAGAGATCCATAGAGTTACACAGAGATCCATAGAGTTACACAGAGATCCATAGAGTTACACAGAGATCCATAGAGACACCCAAGGACCCGTAGAGTTACACAGAGATCCATAGAGACACACAGAAACCAGTAGAGTTACACAGAGATCCATAGAATCACACAGAGATCCATAGAGTTACACAGAGATCCATAGAGTCACACAGAGATCCATAGAGTTACACAGAGATCCATAGAGTCACACAGAGATCCATAGAGTTACACATAGATACATAGAGTCACACAGAGATCCATAGAGTTACACAGAGATCCATAGAGACACACAGAGATCCATAGAGTTACACAGAGATCCATAGAGTAACACAGAGATCCATAGAGTCACACAGAGATCCATAGAGTTACACAGAGATCCATAGAGTTACACAGAGATCCATAGAGTCACACAGAGATACGTAGAGTTTCGTAGAGATCCATAGAGACACACAGAGATCCATAGAGTTACACAGAGATTCATAGAGACACACAGAGATCCAAAGAGTCACACAGAGATACGTAGAGTTTCGTAGAGCTCCATAGAGTTTCAGAGATCTATAAAGTTACACAGATCCATAGAGTTGCACAGAGATCCATATAACTATGCAAATATCCATAGAGTTTCATGGAGATTCATAGAGTTACACAGAGATCCGTAGAGTTTCATGGAGATCCATCGAGTTACAGAGCGACCTTTAGACCACAGCCCCGTGGCTAGTGACGACAGTTAGAGGACACTGCAGGGTGGAGTGAATTGGGGAAACTAACGGGAGTAAAAACAACAAGTTATTTACACGAAACCCATCCAGGATTAAACAATACACAGTGCTTACATACATATTAAAGGCGCCCTTCCCCCCTCCATCCCAGCTTAAATAGTCACTCCAAGCCTGGAGTGTGTCATTCAGACTCTGTCTACTCGACAGACCTGCTCTCCACCTGAGGACGGCTGCTTGCGTTGTGGCCGAAACGTCGTGAGAATTATTTTATTATGTTTTATTTTTATTATTTTATTATTTCCATTCTACGTGACTTTACCGAAAGAACCAAGAAGATGAATCCCTGCAGTCACGAAAGCTTTAAATCGAAATATTAAAACAAGTAAAAAAAATGGTGTCACGGACGCGAGTATATAAACCATAATAGACCCTATAAACAGTACAATCATAGTCCAAAGTAGATATTTTCATCACCTATAAGGTGTCATAATTTGTTGTGTGTTGCCAATTTATTCGTGTGGCCAACGACATCGAATTATTTGATGACCGTTTGGAACGAGTGGGGTTACCGAGCAATTCACTCTCATGAGCCAGGTAAATAAAATCGATGCGACTTAAGCTCTGCTATCAATTTCTGCTCTGGCCCATGGACTAATAGGGAGGTCGAAAACTCAGAGAGGGCATTTCATGTGACATCTCAGCGGAGGTCAATTGACGCTCGTAAAAGCTTTTAAAACCTCGACTGTCCCACGCTCGGTCAAACGTGTGATCTCAATTCGTTAACTATTCGTGGACATTAAAAAAAAAACAGTTGCTATGTATTCAAAATAAATAGGCAACTATTGTAACATCAGTGCGAAACACCTGAATGGTGATAGACATCCTCACGAGGATGCTTTCAAAAAAATAAATTTCGAAGTCAAAGAAACGTCATTTGGCTCGACGTGAGAGAAAACCCACAATGCATTCATTTGAGTAGCACTCAAAAGCCCTGCACAGATGGAGTCAGGAATCCACTGCTATGCCTCCATCTCGTGAGGCTCAGCTACGAGGCTTTCCTGGGACGAATGAAGGGCAAGGCCGATGTGGTATGTACTGTATGTATGTTGAACTTCGTTTGCACCGTACGTAGCCAACCGCGCTGACCGGAGGTGCTTTGCACGTGCCGAAAATGTCAAGCGTTCAGCAACAAGCAATCAATGTTGTAATCGATTATAGTTAACGCTTTTTTTGGATTGAGTAAGGTTATTAAAGTAAGGGCTCGGGGGAGGGGGGGAGACGGTGAGGGCATTTTAAAGGCGAGCAGTGCAAGGGAAGAAGCAGAAAGAGAATTGTTGTGACCTGGCTGTGTGGCGAGTGAGCGGGTGAGTGGTTGAGCGAGTGGGTGAGTGGGTAAGCGAGCGGGTGAGTGGTTGAGCGAGTGTGTGAGTGGTTGAGCGAGTGGGTGAGCGAGTGTGTGAGTGGTTGAGCGAGTGGGTGAGTGGGTAAGCGAGTGAGTGAGTGGATGCGCGAGTGGGTGAGTGGGTGAGCGAGTGGGTGAGTGGTTGGGCGAGTGAGTGAGTGGGTAAGCGAGTGAGTGAGTGGGTGAGCGAGTGGGTAAGCGAGCGGGTGGGCGAGTGGGTGAGTGGTTGAGCGGGTGCGTTGTTGTTTTGACCTTCAGTGTGGTGGTTGAACACAGCATGGACGAGAGAGAGAAACAAAAGTCAGCGGTGGACCAAGTCCTCGACGTGGCTGGAGAAATGAATGAGTAAAGTTCACGCGGAACGGGGAAGTAGCGATAGGAGAGCGACGATGAGGTAACTGTCCGCATGTGAGTGAGCGAGTGACCGGAGTGAATTTGTTACGCTTCCGTCTCCGTGCTCGGCTCTTTCATTGACCTCTCCTGTTCACTTGTGTCCGAGATCGTAGAGATCTTCATAATCAACGTTTTTGGGTTTAGATCGCGTTATTTATAAATGTGTCGTAACCCTCCACCACCCGACACGGCCAATCAGCAAAATAGTGTCACGTTGACAAAAGACAAATAGTTCACTGCTTTAGCCCACCGGTGTGTTGAAGCGTGAAACCACAACATTTACAATGTTTGAGTAGTACGACGTTTCGCTGGTAATTGCATCCAGCATCATCGGGCAATTCGCCAGAGTTGATTATGAATAATATTGGTCGCGAAAGCCTACGTGTTAAACTGATCGTAGAGATCTGTCCAACGCTGTGGCTTTTCATCATAGGTCTCTGCTCTGCTTCCGTTGATCACACACGCCAACAGCGATCATCGCCCCCTACTGCGAAAACTCGGCAGGGCCTCTCCCTGAGATGACATCATGACAGTCACGAGACTCGTTTGAGACATTTGCCTGGGTATAGAAACTCGATCAAAATGCGGTTCGATCATCGATTATCCGGAGGCTTCGGGGGCTCCCAATAATCACGAATCATGATTTAAATGAGCTTGTATTTTGCACAAACTTGTATGACATTATATTTGTAGGTGTTGTGTATGTGCGTTTTTTGTGTTCTGCATTTGTTTACGATATGAAATTCGCATGAACGTCCAAATAGACAAACCTAAATATCCTAATTTGAAGCTTTCGTGACTGCAGGAATCCATACTCTTTGGTTCTTTCGGTAAAGTCACGTGGGTAGAAAGATAAAATAAAACAAAAAATAATGTATCACGACGTTTCGATCGCTACACAAGCGGTCGTCCTCACAAGGAAAAAAGAATCCAGCAGATCTTTCTAGCTACGTGACTTTACCGAAAGAACCAAAGAGGATAAATATCCTACTTTAAAAAGTTACTGTGTTTACTGTACCATACTACCACTCTAATCTCGAAGACTGCTTCTTGGGGTGATGTATAGAGGATACGTGCAGTATTTTCATTGTTTAAGTTGCATGTAGTGTATAATACTATATTTCATATTTAACACTGAAATCAAGCGAAGCCACTAATTTTTTTTTGTCACGCACGCGGTGCCGATAGCCGGACTGGGCAGAGCCTTTTGAGCAGTTTCGCTGGATCGGCCCTTGACAGCAGCCGGATAATGTTGGAAACAGCCGGATGGATAATATAATTAATCGATTATCAACTGTCGTTATTGTTAGCTGGATAATCGATGATCAACTTGTATACACCGACGTGACGACCTCCATTCACTTTCATCGAGATTCGCTAATTCATGTCACCACAACTTTCAAATATAGATATTTTAAATATTTATTGCATGTTTATGTTACAAGAGCCTGAACTTCCTCGCCTGCTATGCAGGAAGTCTGGGTTCGATCCAGACCCTGACGCCTGCTGTATATTTGGAGTCTGTGTGTCTCTCCCCGTGGGTTGCGTGGATTTTTCTCCGGGTACTTCGGGTTTTCCCTCAACATTTAAAATCAACATCAATACGCGTTTAGAGCATTTGGCTGCTATAAATGCCAACGGCATAAGCCGCTTCTTTGAGCCTTAATTTGTGATAGCCAGATCGCGTCTGAAAAAAGAGCCACATTGCAGCTCAATGGGCCTTAACTGGTAACATAAAGATATATTGCAAAATATAATAGGTGCTCGCTAACAGCATTTGCTCCGTAGGAGTTACACAGCCGATTGGAGAATCACCGCACCGAGTGTATTGTGCACGACGCCGCCGTGGTACCATAAGATCAGCGCACCAGAGGTCGCCGGTTCGATTCCATCTCCCGGCGCGGCAGTTGAGGCAACTGCGCAAGTTTCTTACACCAGTCGATCGGCAGGTGACGCTTGATGGTGGGGTAAAGTGTGGGTTAGCCTCGCGTCTTTTCAAAGTCGTCTGGCCAGCATGCAACAGCATGCAAGAGGAGGCCCCAAAATGTCCCTCTTGAGGTGGGAGCTCCCGAGCGGTGCCGTGAGCTGGCAACTGCAGGGCTGCGCCTTAATCTCGTCCGCTACTTCACAAGTATGCACTTTAACAGCCTCCCTTAAACTAACGTCAGAGAAATTACAACAGCAACAACGACGCGGTCAAGTTTTTATTTGTTTATTATTGAACCCTCAGAACTAAATTTCCCACTGCACCTTTCAAAACATTCTAAATTACACACACACACACGCATACAAAAAAATACAAGCATCCCTCTCTTTTTGCCAACGTATACTGTTTGGGCAAGTACTATGAACAGTGCCTATTAAGGCTGGCGCAAAACAATGGCCAGCAGCCTTTGGCTTTCCAGTGACGATGTTGATCACTAAACTGTGCTACCACTCTCCAAAAAAACAAAGATCCCCCGTATAACCTTAACAGACTGTAGGGGCAAGTGCTGTTAAGGAGCACCTATGAAGGCCGGCACGGTACACGAGGGGGTGGGGTGGCCAACACCACGCCCGACCGTCTTTGTCTCCCCAGTGGCGATGTTTTTACACACTGCACCAGGTACTCATTTGAGGCTGAGTCGACCTAGGGGAGGCCCAGGAGCGGTTCAGATAATCGTCACCGGTGTTGGCCGTGAGCGAGAATCGAACTCGGGTCGCCGGGTTCATAGCACAGCGCGCGACCGCTCCTCACACATACAAACACACACATACACCACACTCACTCTCACATAACAAACATACGTGCACACACAAACACCATACGGTGGAGAGGAATTTAACATTTAGAAACGGAGCTGCTAAAAATGTTGACATTTCAGCCGACGACACCGATGGAACACCCTGGTCGACTCACTCGTGTGAACGACAGGGATGCAGGAGTTCAGCCCGTCCACGAGCTGACGAAAGGTCACGTTTCAGGGTCACGATCACATCCAGGAATCGATTATCATTCCGTCCTGCAGCTGTATGTCCATTGACTCCACGTGCGTAATGGGGCCAGTGCCTTTCGGCCGGATGTGGGGCCATTAACTTGAGTTGGATGGACGCGAAGTTGAAAGACATGAGTGAAAAAGTCCTCAAGGGGTGAAATGGACCGGCGCTATCACTGGTAGCTGTGGCTGCGTGCCCAATGCTTGACTGGCGTTAATGGGCCAAGCGCCTGTTCGTCGCCGTCACAGCTTGAGTGGGATGATGGGCCAGTACTTTGGCCGCGTGCGGTCGCAGTGCTGGTCGAACGACAGCTGCATCGCGGCTTCCAGCGCGAGGATCCGTACGCACGCCTCCTCGCCGTACAGACGCGCCATCTCGACGCGCCGACGCTCGCCCGGCCGTTCTTGTGGAGCCTGGCTACTCGCCTGCACGCGCACACGCAGAACGCAAAGATCCCCTGCGTTTAGCCTTCAACATGCTGTTGGGGCAAGTGCTGTTAGCGAGTACCTATGAAGGGCGTCACGGCACACGAGGGGGGGTGGGGTGGCCACCACCACGCCCGGCCGCCTCCGTCTCCCCAGTGGAGAGGATTACACACCGCACCAGGTACTCATTTAAGGCCGAGTCGACCAAAGGAAGGCCCAGGACCGGTTCAGATAATCGTCACTGGTGTTGGCCGTGAACGGGAATCGAACTCGGGTCGCCGGCTTCGTAGCGCCGCGCGCTAACCACTACAACACTACCACTCCCCACACATGCATGTACACACGCGGCTACACAAACATGCACGTGCACTTACGTACACACACACACACACACATTGATTGTGATGCGAGTTCCGTGTCAGACGAGTCGAGGTGAGCGAGCTCATTACCTGCCTCGCCCCCGGCGGCTCATCTGCCCACACCATTCCCTCCACTCGCTCATCTTCCTGCTCCTGCTCCAGCCCTGAGAGGGAGAGAGCACTGGCATTAGCGCCGATCACATGAGTGCACATGTGCAATGACAATGATCCTCCAAATAGCTTTTGACAGACTGTTAGGGCAAGTGCTTTTAGCGAGTGTACCCATGAAAGCTGATGAGGCACACACGAGGGGTTTGTGGACTCTCACGGATTTAACTAAAGCACAGCGGGATGCGATTCATAATTTAAAGAGTGCATGCAGTGCAGCAAACGCAGCCTGCAGAGGGCGCTATCAGCACAGACAGGGCCTATGAATGCCACACTTCAAGAGACCAAATAACTGAACCTAGGCAACCACACCCGAGTCTAACGACTCTTTTTCAGGAGGGTCCTGCATGATATGACTTTAAAAATGAAGATGTCTTCGGCCAATTATTGTGGTGTTCATGCACTTTGGAGGAAAACCAGAGCGCCCAGAGAAAGCCCACGCTTGCAAGTTGGGCAACAGCCTGTAACATACGGATTTGGCAGATCGAGATTAGTCCAGTTGCTGTTCCCCGCCTTCTCCTGGCGAGTCAGGGTATGGCAACTCGCCACCCAACGGCAAGGGAGCTTCACAACATTTTACATGATCCCCCAACCCTCACCTCCAGTGCTGGGTTACAGGTTTCGTGAGCCGCCGCCACCATCATCTGGCTAAGAATGCATGGGCCATTGCAGAAATTGATATTACCTAAGGCCGCAAAACTTTGGTAGAAAACGTCTGCCACCAATCACAACACACCCTCTTCCTGATGACACCTACAACGTTTGCCTGCAAGATTCTAGTGAGACGTGGGTCGTCGAGCGACAAGAGTGATGGATTCGATACCTAGGCGATAAAAGTTACGCGGGGTGCGACGCCTGCGGTGAGTGAGCGGTTGCGATGGGTCCGGCGCCCGGCTCATCGGCACTCACTCCTCTCCTCGCGGTGTCGCTCCGTCTCGGCGAAATACGCGCGCAGCTCGTCCGTGATCTCCACGTCGCTCTCCGCCTCCGACTCCGACTCGGACTCTGAATCCTCGTCTGGTTCTTCGCTCCTCAGATCCGGCACTTCCTCAATCAGTTGCTGCTGCCAATGCTGCCGCTGCTGCTGCTGATTGTGGTGATAATGCTGCTGATGCTCTCTCTGATGCTCGGTAGCCTGTGTCGAGAAGTGATGATGTTCTGGCACTTCCTCGTGCTTCTGATGATGATGCTGCTGATGATAAGGATGCTGCTGCTGCTGATTGTGGTGATGATGCTGCTGATGCTCTCTCTGATGCTCGGTAGCCTGTGTCGAGAAGTGATGATGTTCTGGCACTTCCTCGTGCTTCTGATGATGATGATGCTGATGATGATGCTGATGATGATAATGATGCTGCTGCTGATGATGACGTCTCTGATGGCCGGCAGCTTGCGGAGGGTGTGATTGGGGGCCGTGGTGAGATGCAGCGTAGGGATGCGACGGATCGTACGGAAATGGGAGCCCGACTAGGCAGCTCCAGTCCAGGCCTTGCCTGTGCAGCGACAAAGAGAAAACAAATTCAACTCGGGAATAAAACAAATATAGAACATGAAGAGAGATTGGGCAGCACACATAGCTAGAAGGGATGAAGGCCGGTGGTCGAGACTAACGTCGGAGTGGCAACCAAAGGAGAGGACGTCAACCACAGACACGGTGAGTGACATGAGCTTGTGAGAAGGTGCTCGGATTGCTACATTACAGGACTGGGAGATGGTGATGACTTGGAGAGGCCTTCAATCCAGCAGTGGATTGAGTATGGCCGACGGTGATATAGGACTGGCTGGCTACATAGGCTGGTTGGATGGTTAGACATAGGGCTAATGGCTGGCTAGCTTGCGTATTTATGGGTCATGTAGTGGGCTAGTTAGAGATCGTTATAGTGCCTGGCTGGTGTATCTATGAGTCGTTTAATGGGCTGGCTGGCTAGTTAGGCATGGGGGAAGTGCCTGGCTGGTGTATCTATGGGTCGTGTAATGCGCTGGCTGGCTAGTTAGGCATGGGGGAAGTGGCTGGCTGGTGTATCTATGGGTCGTGTAATGCGCTGGCTGGCTAGTTAGGCATGGGGGAAGTGGCTGGGTGGTGTATCTATGGGTCATGTAATGAGTTGGTTGGCTAGTTAGGCATGGGGGAAGTGCCTGGCTGGTGTATCTATGGGTCGTGTAATGCGCTGGCTGGCTAGTTAGGCATGGGGGAAGTGGCTGGGTGGTGTATTTATGGGTCGTGTAATCGGCTGGCTGGCTAGTTAATGGGGGAAGTGCCTGGCTGGTGTATCTATGGGTCGTGTAATGGGCTGGCTGGCTAGTTAGGCATGGGGGAAGTGCCTGGCTGGTGTATCTATGGGTCATGTAATGAGTTGGCTGGCTAGTTAGGCATGGGGGAAGTGCCTGGCTGGTGTATCTATGGGTCGTGTAATGCGCTGGCTGGCTAGTTAGGCATGGGGTAGGTGGCTGGGTGGGTGTATCTATGGGTCGTGTAATGAGTTGGCTGGCTAGTTAGGCATGGGGTAGGTGGCTGGGCGGGTGTATCTATGGGTCGTGTAATGAGTTGGTTGGCTAGTTAGGCATGGGGGAAGTGCCTGGCTGGTGTATCTATGGGTCGTGTAATGGGCTGGCTGGCTAGTTAGGCATGGGGGAAGTGCCTGGCTGGTGTATCTATGAGTCATGTAATGAGTTGGCTGGCTAGTTAGGCATGGGGTAGGTGGCTGGGCGGGTGTATCTATGGGTCGTGTAATGAGTTGGTTGGCTAGTTAGGCATGGGGGAAGTGCCTGGCTGGTGTATCTATGGGTCATGTAATGAGTTGGTTGGCTAGTTAGGCATGGGGGAAGTGCCTGGCTGGTGTATCTATGGGTCGTGTAATGCGCTGGCTGGCTAGTTAGGCATGGGGTAGGTGGCTGGGCGGGTGTATCTATGGGTCGTGTAATGAGTTGGTTGGCTAGTTAGGCATGGGGTAGGTGGCTGGGCGGTGTATCTATGGGTCGTGTAAGGGGCTGGCTGGCTAGTTAGGCATGGGGTAGGTGGCTGGGTGGTGTATCTATGAGTCGTGTAATGAGTTGGCTGGCTAGTTAGGCATGGGGTAGGTGGCTAGGTGGTGTATCTATGGGTCATGGTAACGGCGCCCACTCACGCGGCCTCCGTCAGCGCTCTCCGCCGCGCGTTCCGGTGCCTCTTCGTCCAGGCCTGCGCGCCGCGGTAGTGGCTCCAGTAGCGCGCGTACACGGGGTGCGCGTACCACGCGGAGCCCCCCGTCACAGCCGTCGCCTCTTCCTGCACGCCACAAAGACAAAGAAGCCCCCCCCCCCGTATCGCCTTGAGGAGTGTTGGGGCAAGTGCTGTTTGCGAGTAGTAGCACCTATGAAGGGCGGAAACGGCGCACGAGGGGGTGGGTTGCCAACACCGCGCCCGGCCGCCTTTGTCTCCCCTGGTGGCGATGTTTACACACCGCAACCAGGTACTTATTTGAGGCCGAGTCCACCTAGGGGAGGCCACACACACACACGGGTTTGATGTCGGGGTCATTGAGTGGGTATTGTCTGCCCCCTAAGGTTGCCAACTTTTTCCCACTTTAGACCGAACCCCGGATATAGTTCTCGGTCAGCCTGTGTCTACTAAACACGTGCGGTATGCAACATGGATGTTACTATACGTTGAACTTCTTTCGCGCCGTACGTAGCCAAGCGTGCTGAAGGGAGGTGCCACACATCTCGGCACCAAATTGATTCCCACCATCCCGATGCAGATCCCCGGACAGGTGGCAACCGAAGTTGCTACCTCATTCTCAGTCCACTGCTGGATGAAGGGGGGTCATTTCACGTAAACCTCACCACCGTTATCAGTGCGGGGTTAAGCGAAGTTGGGGAGCACACACTTTGCTCCGCGTCAACCTGTTTGTATGCACTTCAACACGCAGCCTTTCGCGACCAATACCATCTACAATTACACGTTTTTTTGGGTGGGTTAAATCGCGTAAATGTATAAACGTGTCGTTAAACCCGCCACCACCCGACACAGCCAACTTAGTAAGGTTTGTCACGTAAACAGCACGTGGCCCATTCGTCACTGGTACAGCACAGCGCTGTGTTGGAGAGCAAAGCCACAGCATTTACAACCGACGACACGGACTTTTACGCGATCTAACCCAAACAAATCCTGTGTTCATGTTGCAACACATCCACGCAATATTCAGGCTCGGCTTAGCTTCCCTGATCTGACGAGGCCTCATTGTGGGCTCATCTACACACAGCCGTCACCCTGCACACAGCCGTCACACAGCCGTCACCCTGCCACGGCTAAACAAGCGATAATAGCACCCCCACCACCACATCCTAGAACACAGCCTGAAGACGATTGTCCCACAAGGCCACAATGTGGAGGAGCGGTGGTGCAGCGGTTAGCGCGCTACGCTGCGCTGTGAACTTGGCGACCCAAGTTCGATTCCCGCTCACGGCCAACGCCCAGTGACGATTATCGGGGCCTCCCCTAGGTCGACTCAGCCTCAAATGAGTACCTGGTGCGATGTGTAAACACTGTCACTAGAGAGACAAAGGCGGCCGGGCGTGGTGTTGGCCACCCACCCCCTCGTGTGCCGTGCCGGCCTTCATAGGTGCTCGCTAACAGCACTTGCCCCTACAGTCTGTGAAGGCTACACGGGGGATCTTTGTCTTGCCGTGGCCACATGGCTCCTTACCTCGCGTCCTGCCATGGCTCGCCCGTGAGTCGGGCAACGTGCGCGGTGAGGGGCCGCGACCATTTGCCCGCACGACTGTACCGGAGGTTCACATTGGAGACCGCCCCCCCGCCCCGCACCAGCTAAGGTACCGCGGCGATTTTGCAATTGAAAAGAGTAAGAGAAGCAAAGATTTTAGTAGTCCTAGATCTGAAGCTTTCGTGACTGCAATGATTCATATTCTTAGGTTTTTTCGGTAAAGTCACGTAGGCAAAAACATTAAAAAGTAAAATAAAATAAAATAAAAATCACGACGTTTCGAAGGCAACACAAGCTTCCACCTGAAGACGGAAGCTTGTGTTGCCTCCGAAACGTCGTGATTTTTATTTTACTTTTTAATGTTTTTACCTACGTGACTTTACCGAAAAAACCTAAGAATATTTTAGTAGTCTTGGGTTTTCTTGGTTCTTTCGGTAAAGTCACGTAGAATAAAGTCTAAAATATTTTTTTATTTTTATTACTTTATTATTTCTCTTCTACGTGACTTTACCGAAAGAACCAAGAATATGAATCGCTGCAGTCACGAAAGCTTTAAATCGAAATTTAGTCTTTGGTTCTTTCGATAAAGTCACGTAACGTCGTGATATATTATTTTTGGTTTTATTTTCTTTTTCTACCTACGTGATTTTACCGAAAGAACTAAAGAGAATGGATTCCTGCAGTCACGAAAGATTCAAATCAAGAAAGATTTTCATCTTTTGTGGGGTTTTTTTTTTAATGGGGGGAAAATAGTTCAAGTAAATTGGGATTAATTAGGCGTGAATTATTGTATGGAACTTTCTATCCCCCCCCCCTCTCACCACCCGGCAGGAATGGGAAAATATTTTCTGGAGCTCAGCCCGAGACAGCTCCTTCGCTGAATAAGTGAATATTCGCCACTAATAACCGTAAATATTATTGTGTAAGACCGTCAAGATACACAATAATTAACGATTTAAAAAAAACTAAATAATTAAACTGAGAGTTCATTGAGATGTCAATTTTTTTCATGCGAGATCTTAGATTTCAGATCCAAATGTACGGCGCAAAGCGTGTCAACAATGAACACCATCAATATCACGGCCACCATCATCCACATTCGCCACAAAGTGACGGTGACGTCACAAACGGCGCTTGTGCCAGGCTAGGTACACGTTAAAGGCCACGTGAAGTGTCGAACGCCCGCTGGCAGGAGGTCACGGGAGCAGACTCAGGTGGTGCCATGGGTCGACTGACAGAGATGACTGGCCGATGCACCACCTGTGCCCCCCTGCCGTGATAACTTAACCACACATCACCACCACCATCACGAGAATCCACACACAACTACCAGATCAACAAAGACAAAGATTCCCCATGTAGCCTTCAAATACTATTAGGGCAAGTGATGTTAGCGAGCACCTATGAAGGCCGGAACGACACACGAGGGAGTGGGGGGGGGGGTGGCCAGCACCACGCCCAGCCGCCTTTGTCTCCCTAGTGGCAATGTGTTTACACATCGCACCAGGTACTCATTTGAGGCTGAGTCGACCTACGGGAGGCCACCACCATCACTACAACCCACACATCACCACCATCGCGCATCATTATCGACATCATTATCACCACCACACGTGGCACCATTTCCACCAACATCATATCATTGTCACCATCGCTCACCACCACATCACACCATCACACACGCCTTCACTCACACCATTATCTTCCATCTCCTCTGCTTGTTTCTGCCAGTGAGCGGTCATATCCTGTGTCCGTTTCTGATTTCCTTCCTGTGCTCATTCAACTTCGCCTGCATCCTCTCCCGTGCATCCCTATTGTCCTTAATCATCCCCATCACCATCACTCACCATTACAACCACCAACCTCATCACTCACACCAATATCATCACTACTTTCCACACACACACACACACACCGTAACCACCATCACCATCAACCACACACCCACCCACCACCACCACCATGCTTCTTACATCACTGCCATGGCCACATCCATCGCCTGCAGCCACGCAGACACCATCAGCACCACACTCTTGTGCCCGCGTGGCTGGGACACGTTCCAGACACGCGAGCGTAATCATTCATGTCGATGCCATTTTATCTTTGACGCCACACGGGCGACCACGGAGGTCCGTTTTGCCATGGCCACACATTTCTCTTTGTCCCCTCCATTATCTCTGTCATTTAATAGTCATTGATTTTACGCCCAGGTCGCCTCGGTTGGCCTTTGTCTGCTGTGAATGGCGAGGCGGCTGATGTTGTGCACTTGAGCGTGTAAGCAGACACTGCTCTGACAATGCTGTCTTGCGTTGTGATTTTTTTGTCCTTAAATTTATATAAAATTGTAACTTTATTCAGAAGTCAAAGTGTTTCTCTGTTTAAACGAGATGCTGTTGTATTTTAAAAAAAATGTATTCCTGATATTTTACTTCCTAATTTTATTCTGGCATGTCTTGAGACGGAGACTCCGTTTTGGATCTCTCGCAGGACAGTTACAACCCCCCTTCGTGATAGATAGTAAAAACCGCCCGCGGAAGTGGACAACACAGAGTTACCCCAAAGATACCTTAAGTGACCTGTGGTCCACACGGCAAGAGGCCAGCACCTCCCCACCCGCTCTGCCACCTAGAGTATGTATGTTCGTCGCATAATAGTGACATTGGTCATTTGTAATTCTTGGAGATGGAATTTTGCCAAATTAAGAGCTAAACAAATACGATTTAAACAATAATCAGTTTTCTTAAAGGCTGACGGATGAAAGTCTTATGTCATTCTACGTAGCGAGGCAGAGGAGGTGGCCAGGAGATGGCAGCAAATCAGTGTGTTTTGTTCACAAACAACACATTTCACTTGGATCTACATACGTGAATTAAATCCATCTGTGTGGCCCTCTGAGCGCTGTCCCCTCGCACGCTTGTTTTCTCCAGGTGCTCTCTCACACGAAGCCAAATACTCACACGTGGAATTGGCCAAACAGCGAAATGCAGAAGCCCCCTAAAAAATGGGTCCTGGGGCTCATTTCGGCTTTCCTGTATACAGGGAAAGATTGTTATTGTTGCTCGGAGGTGAAGCGGTGGTGGGCAGTGGTTAGCGCACCGCACTATAATGCTGGCCAACTCAGTTAGATTCCAGGCCACGGCTAACTTTAATGAGTGGCAAATAATGAGGTATAGCCAAGCAACTCTCGGAGTGGGGTAGGAGGCCTCCATCTAGCAGTGGAGTGACAACAATGGATGTAAATGTACATTCAAAACACCTCTTCCCCTAAGCCTTCATTCATGCCGTTGCTGTGGCGTCCTGTCTGGGGGCGAGGCGCCACGCGTTTCTTTTGGCGACAAAACGATTCCACTTCAATCGCACAACCCAACCCTTGAAACAGAAGAGGTGTGGGTGGGGGCGGTGCGTCTTATAATCCGGAGCATACGACGGTAGCTCAAGAAAGCAGAAACACTCCGCACATTTGTCCTTAGAAGAAGAAAACGAGATAGAGTGATAGGTGACGTTCTGCGCTATGACCCCATCTGTGCTATGAAGGGCCATTGCTCAAAACGTCGCCTTTTTTAATTAAGGCCACATTTTCTTGGTTCTTTCGGTAAAGTCACGTAGAAGAAAAATACGTGACTTTGCCGAAAGAACCAAGAAGATGAATCCCTGCAGTCACGAAAGCTTTAAATTGAAATTTTAGGCCACATTGTTATTGACGAATGACTTGAGTTTGTTTTTTGTTCCTATGCACCTTTGCCGACGCTGCAAGCAGAAGCAGCTTGACCAAATAATTCGCTTAAGAAAACAAAGTTTATTACAAAGCCTGCAGCAGTTGCTCAAGAAGCATGCCTTGCGTGTGATTTAGGTTATTTATCCTGTCGTTTTAAAGTACCGTATGTTCCGTATTATAATAGGAACTTTTACCCCCCAATGCTTTTCAAATATAAAGTTGGGGGTGCATCTTATGCAGTATGCGTGTGTGATCAGCTTTCCCAGCAACCCGAGTTCGAATACCGCTCACGGCCAACACCAGTGATCTGTGACCCATGCTGGGCCTACCTTAGGTCAACTCAGCCTTAAATGAGTACCTGATGCGGTGTGTAAAAAGACTACAACTGGGGAGACAAAGGTGGCCGGATGTGGTGCTGGTCACATCCAGCCACCTCGTGGCCTGTGCCAGCCTTAACAGGTGCTCGCTAATGGCACTCGCTTCAATAGTGTGTCAAAGTTTTGATTTAAAGCTTTCGTGACTACAGGGATTCATATTCTTGGTTCTTTCGGTAAAGTCACGTAGAAGGGAAATCTTTTTATTATTTTATTATTTCCTTTCTACGTGACTTTACCAAAAGAACCAAGAATATAGTGTGTCAAAGGTTATACGGAAGGGGGGGGGGGCGGTGGTCTTTGCCTTTGTGTAATTTGATTGACACCGGGCGCAAGTTTTTGGAGCGTCCACTTTCTGAAGAATACGGCAAATCCATTCCATTAATGGGTCTATATAGGTGCGAGGGTCGGGTGTTGTGCGTGAAAGTGCATTGCATTGTCGTGATGTGGGGGGGGGGTTAGTCTGAAATCACGCGAGCGAGACTAAGGACCTCATGCTTGCCTCCCATTCATATTCACACCTCGCCAAATCCACAAAGCAAGATGGTACATGCCGGGACGTGATGGTACATGCTTGGGTATGATGGTTTGTTTTGTTTTTTACGTGATAGTATGGGTCTATACATGATGGGTATCTTTCGAGACAAGATAGTATATGACGAGACACGATGTTACTTGCAAATATATGGCGGCTTATGTGAAGGTATGTATCACATGAACAACAGGCATCATAATGCACGTGAGACGGAGAGTCAGACGAGGAGGCACGCTTTCGCCAGAGTTATTCACAGCAGAATTAGAAGATGATGCTGGTCCAAAAATGTATGGGAGATGTAAACAAACTAATAGGAATGGAGAAAAAAATATGAATAAAATGGAGAAAATATGAATAAATTCTCAGATTAGTTGATGACATTCTTTATAAGAACCAAAGGGCATGATCTTCAGCAAATTATTCGAAACATTTAATACGGTTACTTTCAT